GTGCAGCCCTGGCCCCGCCCACCCTGCCCCACACAGATGGGGGAAGGCCCTCCCCACCCCGCCATGCCCTCTCAGAGAGCGAGCCACCAGACTAGCAAGTTGCCTCAGCCCCTTCCTCAGCATGGGGAACTTGATCTGCCCCCCATACCTCTTCCCTTCCCCCTCCCCTTCCACCACAACAGACTTGCCAGCTGAACACAGCTGTATCAAGCATCATAAAGGAACGAATCCCCCATTTATATTATTCCTATGGGAAAATTGGTTCTGAGTTATGGCATTTCAACTTAAGATGCAGTTTTCAGGAAACAGTTGAGTCATACAGGCAGTCGTGAGACTTACATCAATAAAACAGTGTTTAGGTGATACCTATATATATAATGGAGTTTCACTTTAATCATGGAAAAATTCAGTTTTAGAGTTTTTTTAATCAGAATTTGCTAATTTTTTTCTTTTTCATTTAAAAAAAATCACAAATTCTCTGAATTTTAATTTTTAAACAGAGAAGACCAGGATCCCTAATGATCAGGAAAGAGGGTAGCTGGTTTGGTTTTAATGTCAGCATCTTTTTGCACATGCATTAAATCCAATCTTGTTTGACAAGACATAGAGGAGCTGTGAGCATGGCTGACTTGAAAACTAAACTGGAAAATTTGATTTCAAAATGAGAAATGATTTCAAAAATGAGAAACCAAAAAACAGGATGAAACTGGTTACTGATTTCTCTGTGTGATGTAAAATCTATGAGACACTGCTATAAATATTGTAACAAATCAATTAAAGATTTCAGAAGTTTTTTTTAAATCCCTAGTCCTTTTCTGAGTTCCCTTCTCAGTGCTGCTGAGCAGAACTTCATTGCACCCTCCATAGACTATTTCTCACAGCACACTGCCAGCAGAGTCTTCTCTCAGCTTGGGCAATATTTGAAATATACATGTCATAGGGAGACCTCAGCACCTCATAATATAACCTTCCATCATTATGCTGTTTGTTACTCAAAAAAAAAAAAAGTGGACTGGGAAAGAATTTTATCATGGTGAGCAGTGTCTTTTAACTGACTTGTCACTACCTGATGTAGGGCTTGTTACAATCCATTGCAGATAAGCAGAGAATTTAATTTTATGTAGTTAAGCAGTCCTAAGTTAAGATAACACACACTGCCTTAACTTTTTACCCCATTCACATATGGTTTGCATTAATTTTTAAGCTTGCGTTCAAAGTCAGTAAAGTCTGTCTTCAACTTTTAGACACACAGGTAATGCAGTCATCCATGTAATAATTGATTATAGATATAGCCAACCGTATGCATTGTGTAATGTAAACTGTCTTTCCATCAGTGCTTGCTAATAAAATCGAAAGCAATTATTTTGCTTTTTATACAATACAAATAATATGAAAGCATCCCCTTGATTATAGCTGGGTCCCGCAGAATTGTGGTTAGTGAAAGTGCACAAACACCTGAGGCCTGTCTTCATATGTAGTTTGAGGTTGGTGGAGACGATTGGACTTGTTTTTAAAAATAATGTTGGAGTGAGACACTAGATAAATCACAATTGCACTTAGGCATCATTGGGAGCATAGCAAGGACTTCTGCTTTTATCTTTAGTAATTTGTCTGGCGGGGGGGAAGCCAACTAAAGGAGAAATAGATGAATATACATTTTGGCTGCCAGTGGGCAACACAAGGAAACGGAGAGTGTAAGGATACTACATGGGGTGTAGTGAAACTCAGATTTTAAGTTTATCTGAGCATGGCTGTGATATTAAATCAGTAGAGCTGCAACTCAGAGCATCCTGAGTAGTCTCCAGTAATAATGATTGTTGCTTCTTCCTCCTCTTCAGCTCTTTAGAAAAAGAGCAAGTGCTGAGGAGACAGGCAGAACTGGAATCTGCCCAGAGCCGTCTGCAGCTTCAGGTCTTGACTGATGAGTGTAGTAAACTTCGCAAGCAAGTCCAGGTAAATTCAGCTGTTGTGGTTTTTGTTTTGTTATGTTTTGTTTTAATGATAGACTATTTCCCAGGGGTGGGCAGTTATTTTGGGTGAAGGGCCACTTACTGAGTTTTGGCAAGCTGTCAAGGGCTGCATGGGTAGCCCCGCCCCTTGACAGATGCCCTACACCCTGGTCATTATCTTGTGACTGGGTCCCTCCCTCTAACCCCTGACCTTTGCCACCAGAAGTCCCTCTCCTTGCCCCTGGAAGTACTCCTTTCAGCAAGGGGTTTTGCCATCTCAAGAGTCAGAAAAATACCAAATTATGTTCTAAAAAGCGAACATCTACAACATACATTAATTTGATTTCAAAAAATATTTTTGTCCTGATTCACATGTGTTTGTATAGTGTACACAGAGGTGATTGCACAGTAACTTAAAATGAAGTCTTACACTTGTATATTGTGAGGGGGTAGGTATAGGTTTGTGGGGGGCTGTGAACATGTGGGTATGCGGAGTAAATGAGCATATGGGTGTGTGGATATGTGGAGGGTGTGGGGTTTGTGGAGGGATGTGGGGGAAGGGTGACTGGGGTGTGTCAGTGGATGTGGGGGTCTGCGTGTATGGCAGTGTGAGGGGGGGGTGCATGTGGTAGTCACCCTGCAAACACACACCCCCCCCTCTACCAGCATGACCATGCTCTGGGTCCCCCGATGCAGCCACGTGGTGCTGGAGCAGGGTGGGGGCAGGAATCAGGGAAATGGCTGAAGGTGGGGCAGGGCTAGATTCCTGCCTCCTGCTGCTGGTTCCTCTGGGTTCTACTGCCCCTGGCTCCTGTTGTCTTTGACAGGCAGACAGGAGCAAATAAATATTAATTTACTACATTTTTAGGGGCCCTGCAGGCCGGATAGAATGGCCTGGCAAGCTGCATGCGGCCCATGGGCTATATTTTGCCCAGCCCTGTTCTTTCCCCTTCTGTCCAGTCTGTGTTTTGCCTTTCTTCTGCCAAGGGCATCTGTGATCTTTTAGTGTTCACAAACAGCATCTCAACTGCTGACGTCGGGCCCCTTGCTGCTTCTGCCTTCACCCGGTGCCTGTGACCACCAGGACAATGACGTGTATACAGTGACGGAAAAGTAAAACCCACCGTGTCAATTAAAAACTCACTGCTTCAATTTAGGAAGCATGTAATATAACTCTGAAGGACTAAACCCCTGTCACGTGTACAAGCACCCCCTGGGAAGAATGATTGTGGGGAGAGTAAACCTGTGTGTCCATGCCCAGCATTCTTTTTATGCTAAGTAACTCTTGTACATGGTCTTTAATGTAAATACAAATAAGGTAAAAAAAAAAAAAAAAAAATCTTGTTGAGCCTTGTCTGTTTTTCTAGATTCATTGCTGTTTTGCTGTTTTCCAAGTGTAACACATCCTTTTAATTCTAAACGTTTATACTACTAATCTTGAATACGTAGTGACTTTCAGTACAAACACTTGAGTGACTATTTCAGTTGAACAAGTTACTGGTCTCTCTTAACTGTGTGATAGCCTTTTGTTTCTGATAGATCTGGTTTCCCTTGGGAACAAATTCTGTACAGAGGTGGCCAACCTGCAGCATGTGTGCACAGGCTCACCCAAGCCAGTTTCAGGCATTTTCCAGGGTAGGCCTGAGTGAGCCTGCCATGAGGCTGATTACCACTGAACAGCAGTACACAGGCTGTTCTTCAGCTGTTTTAAGAAAGTAAAGCTCACTATGTACTAAAAAACAAGTTTTAAGTAAAGTTCACCACTAAGAATTCTTCACAAAACCATAATAAATAAACTTTATTAAACAACAGCTTGTATTAAGTGCTAACTTTTATGGAATGCTGATCCTCAGGCAAAGTCTACTGCTGCAAAATCCATGTTAATGACTGAAAGTGAACACGGAGCAGCTCCTGAAATTTCCTGGAAACATAGTCTGTCTCTGTGGAGTGAACACTTGGCCATAGACAGAGAGAATGCACTTCACATCCACTGAATTTGTGGGAACTTTAAGGCACTGTTTTGTCAGACTGTGTAGCCTGGGAACAGAGTCCCAGAATAGTTATGTTCACAGGCAGCTGACACTCTTTGACACTGCTTAGATAAGTGGGATATTACTGTTCGTGCTGTTTCCCCCACCCAGGAATGGACTTGAACAGCTGAGCATCAAAGCTCAGCAGAGCCATATGGTTCTGGTTAAAAAAAAAAAAAAAAAAAAAAATTGCACTGCCCTAAGCACAAAGCAGCCAGTTGCCTGAATGTGGTAGATTGGAGGTATCATATCTATAATATCAGTACAGCTTGGCAGCTACTGCCTGAAAACCTCCCTTCTCTGCTGGTTTTCTTGTTGAGACTTGGAAAGTTCCTATGATAATGTTCTGGCTTCAGCCCAGCTTAATAAGTCCCATCACTTTGTTGTGAGCTTGGTGGATACAAGGCTGCAAACCCTCAAACCCGGTGATGAGTTCCGTGAATGTTGTGGGGTTTTCTTCCACAAAGGCCACCTGCGCTTTAATGTCTCTCTTCTCTAACAGATTCCTTAGCTGGAGCATGCACTGCATGCCTGGTGTAATGTCCAGCTCTTTGGCCACAAACTGCCTGTAGTACTGGATGTGTTCAGCATGGTACTGGGTGGCATTGAACTGTGAGCAGACTGGTGGTAGTGGAACAGTAGCATGTGGTTCCTCACACTGATTGGCAATGGACTTCCTGTACCAGAGCTTACGGACAGGACAGTGTTTGAAGACTTTCTTCAGGCAGGACATATCATGGAACTGTGTGCACCAGATGTAACACCAATGACAGAATGCTCAGGTGACATGTACAGAGTTGGGCATTGCTCCCTGAGCACTTTGATGGAAGCCTTGTGAATGTACCTGGCATTGTCAGAAAGGAAGGCGAAGATCTTGTTGAAATCTAAGCTATAGATGAAAACAGCTTGCATGATTGCCTTTGCAACTGTTGAAAAACTGGCAGCCTTGAGGTGGACTGGCTCTGTCTGAAAAATAGGCAGGTTATTGCTATCCAGCTCTCACCTGCAAATAAAATATGCAGCATGTAGTTGTCCTGACTTTCTGTGGCTTCATCAGCCACCATGGAAATGGGGTCAAATTCTACCAGTACATCTGTTGTGGACTGCACGAGTAAAGCTATCACCTGTGGAAGATATGCTTCCTGAAGCCTGTTAGCTGTTAGAATACTTCCCCCATCTGACAAATTGTCCTGCAAGTACTGTCTCAGGACCAGGTGGTCAGGCTTCTGCAGAGAGGGATACTTGCAGCTGTGAATGCTTTGACCAGAGCAAGCCTCTCCTTGCCAGGCTGCTTTCAGTGTTTTGTTTTGTTTTTTGAACATCGAGGACATGGTGGTTGGTCACATGCCCTGTCCTTCAGCCTCTGAAGCAGCTTTCTCTTCTGGTGTACTTTGACTCTAAATGATCGATACTATATTTTCTCACCAGATCCAGGGCCACATTACATGAGGAGCAGAAGAACTTGCCACCCTCTGCACGAAGAGTACTGGCAGGAAACTGCTTCAGTTGATCTGTGACAGAAATTTTCTTTGCTACGTGTGGGGTCTCTTCACACTGCTCTTGCTCATCTTTTCAGTTTGCACCATGCAAAATCATCGAATTGTACAAATTTAGGGTTGGGAGGGACCTCAGAAGGTCATCTAGTCCAACCCCCTGCTTAAAGCAGGATCAGCCCCAACTATACCATCCTAGCCAAGGCTTTGCTAGGATGTGAGCTGAGTGGGGTGAGGCTGGAAGAGGGAAGGGTTCCTGCCCCCATGGCTGGGTGTGGGGCAGGGCCTTCCCCAACCTGATGCAGGGTCTCCTGACCCTGTCTTGCTCTGCTTCCATGTGGGACAGGGGAATTTTGCCCTCCACTTCTCTGCATGGTGGGGACCAGGAAAAGAGGGGGTCAGGAGACCTGTGCTGGGTGTCTGCTCCCACAGTCATGTGTGGGGTGTAGGATGCCCTTGCCTCAGGGGCTTCCCCCCCACCTGGCACTGGTCTGAGCCCCACCACACAGAGAAGGGGAGGGAGAAATTCCTCTCTGCTCCCACATGGAAGCAAACCAAGGCAGAGCTTAGGAAAGCTGTGCCTGACAGGGGGAAGTCCCTGTGTCTGGGGCACACTGTGCCCCATGCCTGGCTCTGACAGGCACCCACCATGTCTCCTGACTCACTTTCTCCCCTATTTGTTGGATGACTGTCATCTTTGTATTGAGAGGCTATCAACAAGGATATAACAATCAAACCAAACTCTGGTGTGCATCTACCGATGCATCTCAAGCAAAACCAGGGATGTCATCCTCCTGCTTTACTTGGCCTGGGTGAGGCCACAACTGGAATACTGCATCCAGTTTTGGGCCTCCCAGCTCCGGAGGGATGTGGAAAAGGTTGAGAGAATCCAGACAAGAGCCACCTGTGTGATCCAAGGCCTGGAGAGCAGGCTGTACGAGGAGAGTCTGAGGTATTTGGGACTCTTCAGTCTGGAAAAGAAGGCTCAGGTGGGACTTGGTAGCAGCCTACAATTATATAAAGGGTACATCAGGACTTGGGAGAACAGCTATTCACCAGAGCTCCCCAAGGGATAACAAGGTCTAATGGCCATAAACTCCAGGAAGGCCAATTTCAGACTAGACATAAGAAAAAAGTTCTTTATAGTGTGTGTGTCCAGGGTCTGGAACAGACTCCCCCCAGAAGTGGTGCAAGCACCTACTCTGAACTCTTTCAAAAAACATCTGGATATTTTTCTTGCTGGGATCACTTGATCCCAGCTGACTTTCTGTCTATGGTAGGGGAGCTGGACTCGATAATCTCACAAAGTCCCTTCCAGCCCCTACTGTCTATAAAATCTATGAAATATTGAAAGATTTTGAGTTTGCTTTGCGTGGCCCTAATGATACTCTGCTATTTAGGTATTTATAGATGCATTATGGGATCAGCTCTGGTGGTCATTACCTGTAGCTGTTTCAGGAAGGATGCCCATCAGCTGTAATTGTTTAAAAACTGCTATACCTTTTCGCATCTTTTGGAGGTTAACAGATGTTCACTTAGTTTCATTTCCCCACAAAGATCATTCCAAATGGATTATTCGTTTTTCTTTTTCTTGTTGTCAAGAATTTCTTCAATTCAAGTTGTACATTTTGGGGGAAGTGAACAGGTCTTGGATCCTTACAAAATTAGGTCATTACTAGAATCTCTGATGGTTCTTTGGATTTAAAAGAACAGTGTAGTCTTTGAGTAAATAGATTTGGATTATCCTCAGTATGAATTCTTGAAACACCTCTAACCTCAGAGCTATAGGATGTTTTAAAATGGTTTTAAATAAGATGTCTTGTTCATAGTTCAGTTATGAGACTAATATGTGGCAGTTAGTTTGGCACGATTAACCTGGAATGTGAGATTAAAAGGGAACCTCTGGATAATCAAGTACAGGTCTGCTATTCACAGGCACCATGTCACATAAGTCCTGTGTTTTTTTCCAGGAGCTGAAAGCACTGATGGCCCAGCATAACACTAGCACTTCTCAGCAACCTGGCAGCTCCCGTTCCTATTTACCAGGTACTCTCCCATCAAGCCAGAGCCAGCACAAATACCACTTTGAAAAGGCCTTCTTGGTTTCTCGGTCTGGGAGCTGCAGGGTCATGGCTTACTGTGACTCATTGAGTTGTCTTGTGGTGTCACAGCCCTCTCCACAGTCTACACTTATTCCTGGTAAGTTGCCAATAAACAGCTCTATATTTTATTGATTGAATCAAAGGGGTTTATTTGCTGGTTTCATTAAAGTTAAATATGTTCTCTGCTCTGTTCTTTAACTCTTCCTCAGCTTCATCCATCTACATGATAAAGTATAGACACTGTTGTTAATAAGATTAGTTTCTCTCCATTTCACCTGGGCTCAGCTGTGGAGTTTTTAGCCCAGTGAATCAATTTCCTTTTTTGATGGCTGCTATGAATTTCCTGTCCCAGTAAGGGATCACTTGAATTTGCCTCTTTGATCTGAAATGCCACCTCCCTGCCAAAGTGGAGGGATCTGTGTGGTGCCTCTTGCTGAGAGGACTCTTGCAGGAGCTGCGGACAAGTGTATAAAGCATTTTTATGACTCCCTCAAGGGCTTTCAGTCTTTCACAGGAAAATGTAAGTTCCTGAATTACAGTTACAAGACCAGATTTGTCACATTTTTAAGTGTATTTTTTACTTAAGTGCATGTGGATAAATGGCGCTATTTAGTGGGAAAAAACGACTGGGCATTGTAGACACAGCTCCACTTTGAACTTTGTGGGGACATTGGACAAGATGCTTGACTTTCATGTGCATGTACCAGTTCCCCATTTGTAAAATAGCTGTCCTGAGAGCTAAGTGCATGATGTTCTCTGAATGGCAGACTGCAAATTTATCTTATTCATTTAATGACTTGAGATTTTTAAATCATTCCCGAACAGAGTTTTGTAGTTCATCTTGATTCCTACATGGTGACAGTCATCTCACTTGGCAACAAGAGACATTATACCCAAAGAGGGTGGTGTTCTGTAGGAGTTTTCCAAAACAGCATGTAACCTGTGTGTTCTCTTCTTGACGTGAGCATTAATTAGCACAGTTACTATAGCTCTGATGTGAGGCTGCATGTTAAAGGCTCAGGTTCCATATTAATTTGATGCAGTTGTCGTGCCTTATGCTTATGTGGTTTATCAGGATATGGTGCATCCTTTTCCAATAACAGGCTGTGGGGTAAAGATGATGAGTGCTGCCAATCTGAGAAGTAGTCAATACATCCCCATCCATAGTAAGCAGATCCGGGGATTGGCTTTCAGTAATCGGACACATGGCTTGCTCTTATCTGCTTCTTTGGACCATACACTCAGACTTACCAGGTGAGTGGAACTGGGGAATGGCGGGGTGTAGTGATATCCTCTAGCTTGGCTATACACATGCTTTGGAGCAGCAGCTCTTCCTGTTTCCAAGAAATGTATTTTAAATCTAATATGAAAGTGTAATGCACAAGTTCCAGAGGAGGATGGGAGCTCTGGTTGGTAAACTGTACAGAATTGTTCTCACTTCCTAGTCACTTGAATGGAGGAGGGACCATGCTTCTATCTGTTCATGCTACCTTTCTTTGAGTGAGATTTTCCCATGGGATACAGCTTGGAAAGAAGCCAGTGCAGACAAGCTGAGTGTTGAGACATATGTAACTTAATCTGCTAACGTGACTTGCCATTTTTTCCAGATACAGTAGTACTGTAAAGAGTGGAGTATAAGAGCGTCCATAGGACTGAATGGATCTGAGAGTTGAGGGTAAAAACCCTCAAAAGTTACTTCCCATTCTGCTTACTCCCCTTTCTCCAAATACTTGGTTTAATTCAGAGGCACTAAAGATTGGTCACATAGGCCTATCTGACCCATGGAGCCATATGCAACCTGTGGGGCTCATGGAAGGGGCTGGTCCCACTTCCAGATTCAGGTGTATGAAGCCTTTTGGGGACATGTGCCAGTTGTGGAGGAGCAAATAACATTAATCCCCATGGCTCAGAAACCCACAGTGTTTAATGCTGCTGCCACTTATCCTGACCCATCTCCAGCACTAGGATCTGGCCTGTGGGAAGCCCTACAGTCTGGGTCTGGCCTGAGAGGTCAGTGATTTCGACACCCCTGTTGTAGTTCAAAACTAGTGATTAGGGTGCATGTTAACACTCACCTGAAGTACATAGAGCACAAGCAGAATTACTTGGAACTGATCCATGAGATAGGACCAGTGCTTCTCTGCAGCTGGGCATAGACAGACTTAAAGGAATATGTTAGGGCCTGAAAAACGCAGCTAAAATATATTAAGAATTCTTTGAGAATTAGTAGTAGTTGGTAGATGATGTGTACACACATGCTGTGTAATCAGATCTAAAATAGAAGGTGGAGGACCTAGAACAGTAGCTGAAGTTGCTATCAGTGAAGAGATCTGAAATTTAAGGAGGATTTTTTTCAGAAAGGGATGCTTCATCAAGAGCATGTGGCAAGCTGAAATACTGTGTGGTAGAGGATACAGATCATGTCAAAGTCCGATTATGTTCTTTAAGATGTAATATGATTTGGTTTCTTCCAGCTCTTACTTATACATGTTTGCATACTGAATAAAGCCATTCTTCTCTAAGAGATTAGATTAATTTAATTTTCTAGCCTTAACTGTGTCTATTGGAAGCCATCCCAAACCTGGCTTCCAGAGGGATTGAGCCCTGTCTCCATGGACCAGGTCTTTTAGTCCTTGTACCCCCTGGCTCTCCATGCCCCTCTGCTGCAGGACCTCAGCCCCATTCTGACTCTGCTACTGGAAAGGGACTTCACCTCTTAAAAGGGAGAGAGTGCACCTCAAAGTTTTTGCAGTGAAGCAGGCAACTCTTCACCTTAAACAAAAATAGAATATTAGTTAACTGCAGTACAGTTAGCACAGTCCTTGGGTCACAGTGCTTAAAGCTAAAACTCAGCCAGGGTTGCAGTCTGTCAAATTTTAGGCTCCCTCCCCTCCCTGCAACTCTGTCTCTGCCTTGCCTTGCCTCACCCACCCCTTTTTCTCTGGGAGGCTTTACTTTATTTTTCCAAGCCAGCATCTCACATGGTGGCTTCTTTCCTAGGTGCCAGAGACTGCAGGAGTCTCCAGGTGCTGGGGCTTGAATCCAGTGGTGCTCCAGTTGGTCCTCATCTGAACATTAGTTCCTTGTATTCTTGATGGTGCATTCTGGAATAACTGAGGCATGTAGTCTAGAGCCTCACTTTCACTCCCAGGTCTAATTTAGAGCAACATTTAATCTATTATTTCACAGAATATAACAGTATACAAGACATTGGATATACCAAAACATACAACATTGTGTTTATTAAAAAATGGGTATATTACAAAACAATACTATACTCTGTCACGAAGAGAAAATAAAGAGTATGGAACAGTTACCACATACTTTAATGTTCACACTGTAACCTACTATGTTGGCTGCTTTTAGTACCCTTATGTTTGCTCTTACCTCTCAGGAAATGTGAGCAACTGTTATTGAAGGATAAGCTGCTTGCATTTACCTTGAAAGAGCAGGCATGTGGGCAGGTAGCTGACCTGCAGTAAAATGCCCCATGCACCAAGTTGTTCATGTTCTCATGGCCAAAATATTTAATGGGAGATTAATGCAAAGTTTGTTGTTGAATCTTTTATCCTGTCGAGTAAATCTGTATCATCAGCATTTTTTAATTTTTATTTGTTTGTTTGTTTGTTTGTTTTACCATACAGCTTGACAACAAATACGGTGGTTCAAACATACGATGCTGGCCGTCCTGTCTGGAGCTGCTGTTGGTGCCTTGATGATACCAACTACATCTATGCTGGGCTAGTCAATGGCTCTATCCTAGTATATGATTTAAGGGATACACGGTCTCATGTCCAGGAATTAGTCCCTCAGAAGTATAGGTATGGTTTCAGGATTTCTCTCTGGTGTTCACTAACAGCTAGCAAGCTAAGCATTTCTTCCTGTGCAGGTGAAAATTATAATCGCATAGTTTTAAGCAGCATCTTGTATTGCTGCCACAATTTTGGAATGCATTATGTCTTGGGAACAAGGTCCTTACATGACTTTTTTGATAGAGGAACAGTGGATTAAATGCACTAAAATTATTACATTTCTGGATTTTTTTTTGCTGTTGCCATGGATAAGGGAGAAATACCAGATCCTAAGCTAATGTTAGCACTGGGTACCAGAGGACTGTGACAAAACTGATAAATGAGTACTAGAACCTACTTAGGCCCTGGGGATTAGAGTGATGAGCAGTCCCAGGTGTCACACTTTATTGAAGAGTCCCAAAAATATTAGTAGGAATCTTGTATTCACGTTTAACTTCATGCCATCATTCTTATACCGGCTAAATTCGATTTCTCTGTCAAGGGATCACTTTATTATAATAATAATAATTACTACTTAAAGCTTATCAAAAACTTCTTTTAACTTATCTAAATTAGACCTCATTCTCAAGCCATTATCAGAATGTCCCCTTCCCCCCTTTCAAAATTGGAAGTGGAAAGAGGGTGGATTGACTGTGTTGAAGCAGAAAGCTGGTGTTACTATAGCCTAATGCTACTGTCTCTTGCTCTTTGTCCTTTCAGGTGTCCCATGGTGTCACTGTCTTATCTACCCCGCATGGCGTCTGCCTCGCTACCTTATGGTGGAGTTATAGCTGGCACCTTAGAAGGAGCCTGCTTTTGGGAACAGAAAGATAGTAACTCTTATTGGCCTCACCACCTGCCTGTAGAGCCTGGGGGCTGCATTGATATCCAGACTGAAATAAACACACGGCACTGCCTTGCAACATACAGGCCTAGTAAGTAGCTGCATATAGGATGCCCTCTCTGCTCTATTTCTGTCACAAGTCCCTGTCCATATAAGCCCCTGTGCAGTGCCGGAATTCCAAGGCAGCTGTGGATTGCTGGTATGTTAGCCCTCAGGGACTGAGAACATGGTGGAAATGGTGTTCCTTTTCTTCAGAAGTGAAAGTCTGGAAGGTGTTGTAGTGTGATATTTGCCCTTGGCCACAGTAATGAGTTTTGTGTGCCTGCATGAGGCCAAGAGAAGTACGGTTGAGGGGAGACAGCCTGCTAAGTTAGGGTGCAAATGGGAAATCTGTTGTGCTTTTAACAGTGCGTCTTGCCCAGGAAGTTTGTTCTCTATGGTTACCCTATCTTGACTTGCATCAGAATTCACTTCTTTGCAGCTTAGCTACGGTCCTTTCTTGGATAGGCATCTTTTGGAGAAAACTTTGCTACATGACTTGGTTTCTTTCACAGATAAGAACAACCCCTACTTGCGTTGCGTGGTGATGGAACTTTCCTGTAGTCCTCTAACAGATGCCTCTGATATCGTCATCTGCTCATGTCACCCAGTGCAAACGTTCAGTGCTGGGCCCACCTGCAAACTGCTGACCAAAAATGCCATCTTTCAGAGTCCAGAGGAGAATGGCAGAATCTTGGTGTGTGCTGGTGATGAGGCGTCAAACTCTGCTATGGTATGTCCTTCTCTTTAATGTGATCTGGAAGGTTTTATTGAAGTGCTTGGGAAGGAAACCTAACTAGTTAAAATGTTGTTATTCCAACTTAATAGAATTTTGCATTGAGGGGAATCAGTGCTGTCTGTGTGGGGTGGGTGTGTGTGCATGTATACACGTATAAACACATCTATTCATCTGTGTATATGCATGGTAGTGTACTTTACTTCTGGGGCTGGTAATTTCCTGGTAACTTACAGGAATTGCTACATTTTGCGTGCAAACCAGCATTACATAAGTTGGAATAATCTGTCCTTTAAAACTTCATTTAATTGGAAGTAGGTAGCTAGTCCTTGCTGTCTAATAGTTGTGTTAGACTCTAACATCACCTTACTCCAGTCAAAATGCCATGTTTTGAACAAGTTACAGTACCACACGCAGTACCAACATGGTAGGTTATCAGTTCACTACTGACTGGAAGCGCAAAATAACAGTTGGCTACATTGCATATAGACGCAGGATCTACTAAAGCAGCTGATGCATCCATTGTTTTTGTAGATCCTGTACAGCTTGGCATGGATCAGAACTTGCCAGCTTACCTCGCATAGGTTGAGGAGCCAATAATTGGTAATGCTTTTATCACTATTAAACCCAGGCTGGATCTGAACCAACAAGTTACAAAAGAAAGAGTATCCATATTCCAATATAGAAGAATTATTGTAAATCCCTCCATCCTATCTCCTCCCCCCCAACCTCCCCAAGTACATTATATATCCACATTTTAGGTGCATTATAGACTTATACTGAACCAGACTTGTTTCAGTACATTTGTTATGTTTAATGCTTAATGTTTAATGTCTTGTCATGAACATGCACATGATATGTTCCAGAAGAACGTTTTATAGTTCTGTGCCCACTTTTCCTTCCTTTCCTCTGATAAGGAGGCAGTGTTTGTCAGGAGAGGAGATCTTGGGCAGATAATTTATTAAATAGAATTAGAAGACTTGTGAAAAAATAGAACCCCAAGTGTTTGAATGGTACACTTAGTAGGAAACGCTAAGCTTTGCCTCTGGAATATTGATCTGTTAAGACTTTATTTAAGAACAGTCTTTAAAAACCGAAAGTAATGCATTCTACCATGTAAAACAGGATTGATAATGTTCAATGTTCAGCCTTTTTCAGAATGACTGCTATTATTTTTAGCAGCCTTGTGCTGCTGACGTCTTTTGAATAATTTGGCCTTAATCTTTTTCAGTAACCTGCCTCCCTTAAACCATCCAGCCCCTTACCCTACAGATAAATTGTCTAATTTGTTAGGGTTTTCCTGTCATTCTCAGTGTAATAACAATAGATTAACAGAGTTTGGTTTTGTTTTTCCTCTCTCTGATTACAGTAGGCAGTGGTTGCTTATTCTTTTCTGCACCAGCCCATTTTGACAGAGTTCATTGATAACTTGACACTTCAAAATCTTGCTCCTTCTGTTCATAGGACTTCTAGATGGATTGTTTTCTAAGAGCTGTTTTGGCTGTCAGCTCTTTGTACAACATGTCCAGTTTCAGGTCAGGTGAGACCTATCTACATACTTGGCTAACAGACCTCCACAGAGTTTAATGGCTTGCAATGAAATGGCAGAGTCTCCGTAGACTGGGGAAGGACTGGGAAATAGCCATGCTGCCTAGAAAGGTTCATTCTGTCTGAAATCAGCTTCTTGCCATTCAAAAAGAAAGAAAAAAAAAGATTGAGAGAGATGTCTTAGTGGCCTTTTAACCCTTCATTTGTGTTCCATAGTTATGGGATGCTGGTAGTGGCACCTTACTGCAGAAACTACAAGCTGACCTACCTGTGTTGGACATCTGCCCCTTTGAAGTGAACTGCAATAACTTCCTAGCTACTCTGACTGAGAAGATGGTGAAGATCTACAAGTGGGAATGAATAATAGTCCATAAGCTCTCCAGAGGAAGGATTTTCCAAAATGTGCTGCTGGTCAACTACTTCAGTAGAGTGTCTGCTGCCCCACTGTAGCAGCTCTGCCATGGACTCTGCCTTCTACCTGTGCTACTCACAGAAGATTGGAACTGTCATGGCACTGCATGTTGGTGCTTGCAGATCCTTCGAGTACCATTGTGTCCCACCACAGGAGGCTTTGTCTTCTCCCACCCTAACTTTTGTCTGTTCTTTCTTCAGCTGATTCCCAAGGTTATTTTTTTTTCCCCTATTTCCAGTCAAATTTAGCAATCCACTTCAATGTAGTGCTCTCTTCTGAGGTTTTCAGCCTGTGTTGCAGATCCCCTTCCAGCACAGTATAGGGACTAAGAATGAAAATTGAAAGACCTCCTGAAACTCTTTTGATCTTGGAATCCCAGTGTTCTAACTGGGTGTGAAAGTGGCATTAATCTGAATAATAGTGTGGCCACCATCTGGTAGATGATTTGGAATTTTTCCCAAAATTTTTTATATTTTGCTGTGAACAAAAGTTAATTGTAACATAGCTTATGGTGTGGAGAAATTTATACTGGTTGCAGCTTGTGGGGTGGGGGTGCAGTGCTGCTGCTCCCAGAGAGCAGCTGCTATGCACTAACTCAAGGGTGTCGGGCATACAGCCTGTAGGCTGCAGCTGGCCCATGGAGCCTCTGTCCGGTCCAGCAGGCTAGCCAAAGTTGGTGCATGGGGCCTGCCACAGAATTCAGGGCCTTTTGGCCTCACTGGCTGTGGCTGTTAGCGATTTTTTTTTTTTTTTTTTTTTTTTTTTTTTTTTTTTTTTTTTTTT